TGACCAGAGGGCAGGCTTGTAGGGTATACCCTTTGGTTGGTTGATGATGCATGGACGTGATTGTAACCATGGCAATGAAACAATCAATATATGATAGGATGAATATAAAACTAATGTTCTCCCATGTAAACTATCACATAATTCACAATAAAACATTTTTTAAAAAAAGGTCTTGTGCAGCAGATTTTCGCAAAAAAAAAAAAGACTGAAACATTTGGACAAGGCACGGAATCTACCAAACTCAAGGCTGATCTCAGTGGAACTAAGGGAGATCATTGCCCCATCGCCTCCCTCAGATATGGAGATGAGGGTCAAAAGGGAGCTAGAAACAGCAAAGCTCCAGAACTCTAGGTTCAGAAGGTAGAACAAGGACCAGAGTGTGGAAGCTAACATTGAGAACTCAGCAGACAGATAGTGAATATGGAACAAATTGAGATTTTGGAATGAAAAAGACTCTGCTTCAAACTCAATGTCAGCCACATGGGGCAAATTTCTGAACCGCTGAGTCACTGGTTTCCTCATCTGTCAAGTGGAGACGGTGATATTAACAGCTCCTACTTTCTGAGCACTCTCCATGTTCCAGGCACATCCATATACAGATAGTCCCTGACTTACAGCATATGACAAACTTCAGAACGTACTTCTTATGGGGATATGTGCTTGATAGCGTATCCCTGAAGAGATTGAAGCCTTCATTGTCCGATCTGTACGTTTACATGAAATGTTTCCAACCCCCAAAGACAAAAAAAGATCAGATTTATATAGAGATACTGATAATAAAAGGCACTACAAACTACCAAAAAAAAAACAAAAACAAAAAAGAGAGAAGTCCATGAACTGTGACTGTGTAACTAACTGTATTATAGCTGTTGTTGTTACTGTTGGGTCAGTTCCGACTCACAGTGACCCTGTACAAGGTTTCTGAGGGGTGGCTAATAAGCTTAAACCTGGTGGTTTGCAGTCCAGTGCTTATCCTCTAACGCCACACTAGGAGCCATACTATGGCTGTACCTGATGTTAAACAAGGAGGGGCCATTAGGAGTAGCTGAATCTCAGTTGTATCCCTAGTCCCATTGTTAATGAACTTAGGAGAGAAAATCTGTTCACAGATTGATGGATTCATCCATGGGGTAGAACCAAGTGAAAAGGCTGGTATGTTCTTTAGACCAGCCCATAGCCTTGCTAGATAGAGACCAAAATTTAGTGCTGATGAGGTGGCTATGAGTTCTGGTGTGGCACTGTAGGATAAGCTCTGGACCGCAAGATCGGTTTAAACCATGGGATCAGCATTTCAAACTCACAAGCTGCTTCTCGGAAATCCTATACAAGATCGCTAAGAGTCGGGACCTACTCGATGACACTTAACAACAAGGTGGATACAATGATTGTTAAGGCAATTTCCTTGATAGATTACTTGAATAAAGAACTAAACACATTATCCGTGTCAAGACTGGTGTGGCTAGCACTTCTCCCTGAATTAGGAACAATCAGATAATTTGATATACTGCAAATGTATGCAGAAAGTTAGTGACAGGAAAACTATACCTCTGCCACACTTTCTGAGTTACTGCCAGAAGATGTTGAAGCAGAGGTAAGAGCAGTTGCAGAAATATCTACGGGAACAGAGGTTTCAGAAAAAAATTTGCAACATCCTGTATTTCTGTACTCAGTGACTGAAATCTCAGAATATAGAACCCAGCTCTATGAATATCTCCAAAATCAAATGTTGGCCACTGCACCCAAGGTTACAGTCCTGGTGGGGAATTACAACTTACTGCTCAAACAGGTTCTCTGTTGAATCCGACCAAGCATAAAGCATCTATCGTTCTGATTCTTGGAGCAGAAAAGGTACTCTTCAGGGTTCTCAAGTCTAGATGGCTAATCCTGGACTATGGTTTCATTTATCATGACTAACTTGAACGCCACACAAGTCTTAAACACAAAGGAACAATTTCTTGAATACTGGCAGCCAAACTGTTTTGTCTATCCATTATGATGTTTTGGTGAGTTCTGCAATAGGAGATGAAAACAGAGCTAAATTAGAGCCAGGTTGAGGAAAATAAATGGAAGAGGAAAAGCACTATCAAAAATATAAAAATGTGAGCATAAAAGTGAAGTGAAGTGAAGACTCATGATTTTTTGATAACTCCACAATGCTAACCTGTTTAGATAACTGCAATATAAAACAGGCAAATACAGGCAATGAAATTACAGAAAAGCAAGGAAAAAAAATTAAAGTCAAAGTTGAAGAAGAGGAGACCTCTTTGAAGAAGAAAAAGAAAAAAGATAAAAAGAAACACATTAAAAATTTACCTATTTCTGAGGAAGAACCTTGAACAATCACAGCAATTTCTAGAGTATAAAGTAAAAGAGACTCAGAACCAATAGGATGGAACTGTAAATTACCTGGACACATTATGTTCAAGATTCAGTTAGGAACATATCAGAGATGCCCTCAAGAAGATGGAGGGCATAATGATTAATCAATGGCAGCATTTCAACTCTGTGGCATTTTGTGTTTTGACATCCACTATTATATATCATGATTTCTTAATGTGTTTAATATGCAAATAAAATATTTATAATAAATTTTTCAAAAGGAAAGAAATAAAAGACTAAAATAGATGTCAAAAAGATTCAGAAACTTGCTCTTGAATGTGGAATAACTGAAGCAAAAGGTATAAATCATGAAGTAAAATAACTGAACAGATGATTTCATACATAGGACAGCCTGAGAAGACAAAGTATTATAATGAAATGCGCAAAGACCAGGAATTAGAAAACTAAATAAGAAGACCACACTCTGCATTTCTCAAGCAGAAAGAAGTGAACAAAAAATTCAAGCCTTGAGTTCTAATACAAAAGGATACTGTGGACAAAATATTGAATGATGCAGGAAGCATTAAGAAGGAAAGAATACACAGTCACTGTACCGAAAAGAATTTGTCGACATTGAACCATTTCAGGAAGTAGCATATGATCAAGAATCAACATTATTAAAGGAAAAAGTTCAGGCTGCACTAAAGGCACTGGTGAAAAAAACCAGGTACCAGTAATTGACAGAATAGCAATTGAGATGTTTCAAAAAACATGTGAAAGGTGGAAGCACTTACTCGCCTATGCCAAGAAATTTGGAAGACAGCTACCTAGCCAACTGACAGGAAGATAGCCATATTTGTACCCATTCTAAAAAAAGGTGATCCAACAAAATGTGAAAAAATAACAGTATCAGCCACAAGTAAAATTTGCTAAGATAACTCAAAAACGGTGGCAGCAGAACTTTGACAGAAAAATGGCAGAAAAGCTGATGAGAGCACAAGGAATGAGGGAAATCATTTTTTTTCCTTCATTTTTTCTTTATTGCAAGCTGACTGTCAAAATGATCAACATGCTGATAAAACCAAAGTATATTCAACAGGTCAAAATATATGAAGCAATGGTGACAAAGTTTTTACATATTCTGATTTACCTATAGGAACTCTAAGATCTGACTGTAAATGCATTTAAATAAAAACAAGAGATATACTGGGAGTTTTACTTTGTTTTTTGTTTTAGGTTTTTGTTGTGAACTGAGTGATAGTTTACATGGGAGAACATCGGTTTTATATTCATTGCATTTCATTGCAATGATTACAATCGAAGTAAATCATTTCTGATATCAGATTTATCTTGCCTAAAAGCAAAGAAATACCAGAAAAATGTTTACTGTGTATTGACTATGCAAAGGCATCCAACTATATGCCTGTGTTTTATTGACTACACAAAGGCATTATAGTCTAGTCAATAAATTATGGATAACATTGTGAAGAAGAGCATTCCAAAACACCTAATTGTGTTCAAATGGAACCTATACATAGACCAAGAGGCAATCATTGAACAGAAGGGGTTAAAAATCAGAAAAGGTGTGTGTCAGCTTGTATCCTTTCACCATATTTATTCAATCCACATGTTGAGAAGGGATAATCTGAGAAGCTGGACCATATGAAGAACACAGCATCAGGACTGTAGGAGAACTCATTAACAACCTGTGATATGCAGATGACACAACCCTGCTTGCTGAAAGCAAAGGGGACCTGAAGTACTTAGTGATGAAGATCAAAGATTACAGCCTTCAGTAAGGATTATACTTCCAACATTAAGGAAGCAAAAATCCTCACTGCTGGACCACTAAGCAACATCATGATAAACAGAGACAAGATTGCAGTTGTCAAAGATTTCATTTTACTTTGATCCACAATCAACTCCCATGGAAACAGCAGCCCAGAAATCAAACATATTTCATCAACAAGAATCCTCTTGAAAGCATTAAAAAGCAAAGATGTAAGGTGCACCCGAATGAAGTAATGGTATTTTCAGTCACCTGATGTGCAATGCAAAAGCTGACCAATAATGAATAAGGAAGATAATGAACTGATATCTTTGAATTACAATGTTGGCAAGAATATAAACTATACTGTGGATTGCCCGGAATCCTGGTGTAGTGCTGTGGGCTAATGTGCTGGACTGCAAAGTCGGTTGAGCTCAACAGCCGTTCCTTGGAAACCCTATATAGGGTCGCTATGGGCTGGAAACGACTCTACAGCACTTAAACAACAACATGGACTGCCCAGAACAAAGAAATCTATCTTGGAAAAAGGACAGCCAGCATGCTCCTTAGAAATAAGGATAGCAAGGCTTCATCTCATATACTTTGGACATGTTATCAAGAGAGACCAGTCCCTATGGAAGGACATCATGCTTGGCAGTGGGCAGTGACAGTGAAAAAAAAGAAAAACAACAAGCTAGATTGACACAGTGACTTCAACAATGGCCTCAAACATAGCAATGATTATGTGGCTGGTGCAGGACTGGGCAGTGTTTCATTCTGTTATACACAAAACAGTTATGCTTTGGGACCAACTTGATGTCACCTAGCAACAACACAGTAAAGCATTCGTATACTGCCTGGAAGAGGAGGGTGGGTGTGTAGAACAGGTATTATGACATCTACATTTTTGTACCTTCTCTACCAGGATCCGGTCTGTCTCTTGCACGCTGGTGTCAGGCACTTGCTTGTCCAAGTAACCGACCGGGTACAGGGAGTCACCCTGGCCACTGCCCCGGTCACTTCGGCCCCTAAAAAACGGAACCAAGAAATAAAGCTAATGCCTCTCACAATTCATTTCCCACATTTTCTGTTCTACCAATCTCAAGGAATAAAGATCCTCAGATGATCCTACTCAAATCAGATTACGCCTCATATGAGTTCACCACTCCCTTGCCTATTGGGAAGGTTGAAATAGAAACATACACAGCAGAAAAGCCTCCCCAGGAGATGTCTTTGTCCCACCCATTCTGTTCAGAGTTGGGAATGAGGTCCCATTTCTATGGGATACGGTGGTGATGTCGGCCTTCCCAGACTTCTCACCTGCTACTTCCTCCAGGCCCGCTCAACTCAATGGCCCACTTGAAGCGCCGGCCTCTGTTAGCCACCAGCCCTGCTTGGGCCGTCATGGCAACCGCCTCCGCCCAAATCCGCCAAGCCTCTCCAAAGTAACTAACTGATCTTACCGGCGTCTCTTACTTCTCCGTCTCAGTTTGTAAGCTCAATTCCGGCGCGTGAAGATAGGCGTCACTTCCGCTTGGGCAATGCCTGCGGATCGTCCTCCCGGGAGCATTTGGAGCTTTAGAAGCAGGAGACGGAATGACAGTAGAGCTTGCCAAACGTGTTTTCTGCTCATTACTACGTTCCTTAAATGTGTTCTCTGACTTTTGAGGTGCTGGTTTACGGGACAGAAGAGAAATCCCTATTTAACCCTGCGTTAGGAATTGAAGCTAAGAAAAGTTTCCTGATTGCTCACCTGCGCTCGGAAACACAAAATTCGAATCCTGTGTGCTTCCCGACTTCACCAGTGGTTGTGTAACCTTGAGCGAGTTAATCTTGTGTCTTGGCTTCTGAGTATTGAATGCCCACTGTGTTCCATTTAATCAAAAAAAGATTCATGTTTGTTTTATTTAATCCTCACAGTAATCCCGCAAAGTAGATTGTACTGTCCCCATTCTGCATAAAACAGTGTGGGCTCATAGTAAGGCGCGTAGCCTCGGAATTGGCATGGCTTGCTTTTGAATCCGGTTTTCATCATCTACTAATGGTATGATCTTGGTAATATTTTTTAGGACTTTGTGTTTAAATTTCCTTATGTAAAACGATAATCTACGTATTTTTAAAGGCTTGTGAGGAGTGCTGGGCACGTACACGTCTTTTTTTTAATTTCATAAAATCTACAGCATTATTTGTAATGGTTGGGCTTGGATTCGGTTGAATACCTGCATCATAATTGAATCTATTGAACATTTAAATTGTTTCCTGGTGTTTTGGGGTCCCCCCTCGCATTTAATCGTTGTTGTAAGCATCCCTTTGTTACTCTTTGTTGCTGGCAGAGTAGACTGTCCCAGGGGTTTTCCAGGCTGTGATCTTTGCAAGGCCTTTGTATCACGGTACCCCTGTGTGAGCTAGAACCACCAAAATTCCCACTAGAAACAAAGCACTTATCATGTGCCACCAGGTACCTAAGTTAAATTATAGATGTGAAATTGGTGAATCATTTAATGCACATTTTAACGGTATTTTCATTCAAAATGCACGCTAAAAACACTGCCCCCTTTATATTCCACCAGCTTTATGACTTTTTTCAATGGTCCTTTTGAAAACAGTACTTAGTTATTTTTTATTTGCATTTCTTTGACTCTAAGTAGTTTTGATATGGCTGGAGTTGGAAGTGGAAATGTCTGTGAGAGTGTAGCTGAGGCAAGGATAGAAAAGGCCTTATAAACCGTTTCTTGTAAACTAAAGAGCTAGGACTCTTGAAGCTGTTGATGATCTGAATACACTGTATATTTCCACCTCCATTTTGCCTTCTGATTAAAAAAATAATGTATTACTATTAGACAATTTGAACAAAGAAGTGAAAGTCTTTGTCCCCTCCAATCCATTCTAAAATGTATATGTTTAATCATAGAAGAGAAGAGCCAACTTGTAGATAGTTTTCCTACTTTTTGTTAGTTTTCTGCCTTTTCTACATTGTCTCTGATAAACCTTTGAAGTTTCAAGCTTCATGTCAAGCTTCACAAGGGACTCAGCCTTATTGGGCATTCTTTTTGTCCCATATGTATTTCTATATATCACATCATAGCATTTACCACATTGTATTTTATTTGTTGACCTAAACCCTGGGCACTTATCCCACCCCATCCTAAATTCCTTGAGGACAGACTATATTTTAAATACATTTTAGCTTACAATGCTTAAGCTGTTACTGAATAGATATTTAGTGTAAGTGTCTAGTGAGTAACATTAAAACTAAATATAATACAACAGTAGGAATATACTATGATTACAGTTATGTAAAACAAAACAAAAACTAGAAAGCAATACACGGATAATGTTAATATTGTATCCAGGTACTGATTTTCATTCAGTTTTGGCTGATTTTCAAACTGGTCTTGTTATGCTTTCATGACTGTTAATGAACACTTTTGAAAACATTAAGTTGGTCATTGAAATCATATTCCTTCTTTTTTAAAGTACTTCTTGCTATAAAAATATTTTAACTATATCTCAAATTCAAGTAGCGTTATCCTCATTTATTGTTGAGTCCCATCGAGTCAGTTCTGACTCAGCAACCCAGTATAGGGTTTCCAAGGAGCGACTGGTGAGTTTGAACCACTCACCTTGTGGTTCAAACCGACCTTGCAGTTCTGCACTTACCCTACAGTGCCACACCATTGATTACTTTCTCATAGAAATTTTCATGGGGCAATTTGCTAAAACATGTTCCTGGGAACATGAAGGTATTGGACTGAGCAGAGGAGGTGTTCCAAGGTCAAGTAAGTAACTTATAGAAAGAGTATTGCTATTAGTGTACACCTACGAAATGGCACAGCAAAAAAAAAAAAAAAATCCTTTTTTATATGTATATAAAATTTATATATAATAATATCTTCTATTATTATATATAAAGAAATAATTTTGTTTCCAAATATATCTGAGTACAAAACCTTCTTTCCCCTTATCACACCTGTAAACATCCAGTGGAGTCAGTGTTAGCACAATGGGAACAACCATTGTTGAATCCTAGAATTCTTTAGGAGAAAGATAAAGTTACTCCCTATAAAACTGTTTTTATAAAGATTTTAAATCATTTGAAATAATACTATGGAAATTGAGTTTCAAGTTAAAAATAAATTTTTGAGGATTCAAGACTTTATACAAGTTGTGTTGCTCAAGGCAAAGAAAGGTAATACAAGATTTTTCTAGAAGACTGAATGTAGAATATTGTTATATCCGTGGGTTAAGAAGAGTTTTTGGAATTAGGAAACCTGAATTTTAATCCTGGCTATAAAAATGTATGTCATCATAAGAGAGAGAGAGAGTCCCCATCAGCATCAACAGCCCAGTCAGATTCTTAAGAAACAGAGATCAGACACATCAGAACTCCAAGACTTATGGCTGTTGTTGTTAGGTAACATCGAGTCAGTACCAACTCATAGCAACCCTGTGCACAACAGAATGAAACACTGTCCAATCCTGGGCCAACCTCACAGTCATTGCTAACTTTGAGCCCATTGATGCTTCCATTGTGCCCAATCTATCTCACTAGGGGTCTTCCTCTTTTTCTCCAACCCTCCACTCTACCACACATGTATCCTCTAGGGCATGGTCCCTCCTCACAGTATGTCCGAAGTATGAAAGATGACATCTGGCCATCCTGGCTTCCAAGGAGCAATCTGGCTGGATTTTTCCCAAAACAAATCTGCTTGTTCTTCTGGCAATCTGTGGCACTTTCAATATTCTCCAACAACTATGGCTAGAAGAGGAACATTAAGTAATTCACTGTGCCTCACTGACTCCCCAAGAACTGAAGGAATCATTTTGATTTAATTTTCTTCATCTTTGCCTCAATTTTCTTCATCTATATAATAGTGACTTTAAAGGGTAACTTATAGCTCTAAAATCTGTCATACTCTTTTTTTTGCATGTTTTTTCCCTTGCATATGTATCCACAGGAAAAGAACTCAAATGATATTCACAAAAAGTAGGAAAAGATTTCCAGATCACTCTGAAAATTGTGCTTTGTTTATAAATAAAATTATTCTGTTTTCTGCATTATGCAGGTATTTATGAGTTAGAAAATAGATAGGTTACTAAGTATAGCATGACCTGATTCTAATCCTAAAAGAATAATGATCATATGTTTTGGATGTACATAAGAATCTTCTCGGAGCTCTTAAAAAATACTGATGTCAGAGCCCCACCTCCAGTGTTTCTGATTCATTTGGTTAGAGCAGGGATGGGGAACCTTTTTTCTGCCAAAATTTATAACAACATTCACGAGCCATACAAAATTATTAACTTAAAAATTAGCTTGCTGTATTGATCATCTCACCTCTAATGTAATGGCTGGAACTGCGGTTTCCTTAGCAGGGTCAGACCAAATGATTTATAAGGATACCTGGAGCCTTGGTGTGGTGCGGTAGGTTAATGCGTTGGACTGCAAAGTTGGTTTGAACTGCAAGCTCATGAGCTGCTCCTCGGGAACCCTATACAGGGTCACTATGGGTCAGAACCAACTTGACAGCATGTAACAACAACAAATCCGGAGTCCTGGTGTGGCACTGTAGGATAAACACTGGACTGCAAGGTCAGTTTGAACTGCAAGGTTGGTGATTCAAACTTACCAGCCTCTATACAGCATTGCTATGAACCGGAACCAACTCAAGGATACTTAACAACTTACAGCCTTCAGAACGGACATTTGCCGGTTTAGAGTGAGGTCTGGACAAGAGTAGTATTTAGGACTCTTCAGGTGATTCTATCAGCCAGCATTGAGAACCACTGACATAGAGAGTAACCTGCTGCTGTAAATTAACAAGGTTTTAATTTGCATAAGAGCAATCAATAAACCCACTCCTTACTTATTGCTACCTTGCTAGCTGAAATTTCATGTTTATGACAATAGTAAAAACTCTATCCACTTTAACAATGTCCACCTGGCAGTTAGGAATACGGAGGAGTTAGACAAGATGTGATGGTTAAGGTTATGGGTCAACTTGGCTGGGCATGATTCTCAGTGGTTTGGCACTTATGTAATGATGTAACTTGGTAGTGCAGGGTTGTGAATTACTTAATCTGACCCTTCTAGCCTTCATTTTTTTTTTTGTAACTCCCACCAAATGAATGGGGAGGACTATGCAAATGTGAGGTATTTATGCCCCATAAAAGGGATTAGATAGCTTGCTAATAATGTAACTAAGGTACATGGCACCCTTATAGAAGGAGAACTTGCAAATAAGGTGTGTGGAACTCTAATGAGGGGATTGGTCAGTTTTGCCACTCTGCTAGGTTTAAAATGAGCCATTTCAGAGATGGAAAGGGGATCTCACTACTGTTAAGAAAGAAGAGCTATGACTGCGGAGTGACTCCTCAATCCAGGAAACAGAACTGTACTACCAGAAAT